AAAAAAAAAAAATGGTTTTGCTGGGCAAGATGGCTCATAGCTATAATCCCAGCACTCTGGGAGGCCAAGGTGGGTGGATTGCCTGAGCAAGAGCAAGACCCTGTCTCTAAAAAATAGCTAGGTGTTGTGGCAGGTGTCTATAGTCCCAGCTATTGGGAGACTGAAGAGAATTGCTGGAGCCCAAGAGTTTGAGGTTGCTGTGAGTTATGATGCCACAGTACTCTAATGAGAGTGATAAAGTGAGACTCTGAAAAAAAAAAAAAGATTGTTTTATGCCTGGCACAGTGGCTCACGCCTGTAATCCCAGCACTTTGAGAAGCCAAGGCAGGTGGATTGCTTGAGCTCCGAAGTTCACAGCCAGTCTGAGCAAGAGTGACACCATATCTACTAAAAATAGAAAGATTATTTGCCTGTTGTAGTGGCTCAATGTAATCCTAACACTGGGAGGCCAGGCCAGTGGATTGCTTGAGCTCAAGAGTTCAAGACCAGTTTGAGCAAGAGTAAGACTTCCTCTCTACTAAAAATAGAAAAACTACCTGGGCCTCGTCATGGGTGCCTATAGTCCTAGCTACTTGGGAGGCTGAGGCAGAAAGCTTGCTTAAGCCCTGGAGTTGGACGGTTCATTGAGCTATGATTATATCACTGCACTGCAGCCTCCTGTGATCACACAGTGTGTCTCTAAAAAAAAAAAAAAAAAAAGAAAGAAGAATAAGAAGTAGCCGGGTGCAGTGGCTTACTCTGAAATCCCAGCATTTTGAGAGGCTGAGGTGGGTGGATCGCCTGAGCTCATGAGTTCTGGATTAGCTTGAGCTAGATCAAGACCCCCATCTCTAAAAATAGTTGGTATTGTGGCAGGCACCTGTAGTCCAGCTATATGGGAGGCTGAGGCAAGAGAATTGCCTGAGCCTAAGAGTTACGAGCTCTGGGGCTGTGAGCTATGACACTCTACTGGGACAACAAAGTGCTCATTGCTGTGAGCTATGACACTCTACTGGAACAACAAAGTGAGACTGTCTCAAAAAGAAAAAAAATGTTATTCTAGAAAGGAGGCACCCAACAATGAATACATTCTATCAAATTTAAATATTAAACAGAGCTTTACCCCCTCACTTTTATGGAAAATATGTTTATGATTTTCAAAAGCATCTATTTAAGAAAATTCCTAAATAAAATTTCTTTTCTTGGCTTGGTGCCTATAGCTCAGCAGCTAGGATGCTGGCCACATACACGGGGGCTGGCAGGTTCAAACCTAGCCGGGCCTTCCAAATAACAGTGACAACTGCAACAAAAAAAAAATAGCCAGCTGTTGTGGCAGGTACCTGTAGTCCCAGCTACTTGGGAGATTGAGGCAAGAGAATTGCTGAAGCCCAAGAGTTGGAGGTTTCTGTGAGCTGTGACGCCATGGCACTCTACTGAGGGCGACATAGTGAGACTGTCTCAAAAAAAAAGTCTTGGGTGGTGCCTGTGGCTCAGTGGGTAGGGTGCTGGCCAAACTGCAACAAAAAAATAGCTGGGCGTTGTGATGGGCACTGTAATCCCAGCTACTCAGGAGGGATTCTCTCTCAGCTACTGAGAGAATTGCCTAAGCCCAGGAGCTGGAGGTTGCTGTGAGCTGTGACTCTACCATGGCACTCTACCGAGGGAGACGAAGTGAAACTCTGTCTCTTAAAAAAAAAAAAAATTCTTTTCCTAATATAGCATTTTAGTGGTTACAAACATGAATACCATGAGATAGTAACCAAAAAGGACACAAAACCCTAAAATTTTGAGAAACAATGTGACTGTATTCCCTCTTCCTAGAAATACAAAAACACATCAAGATACTGAAAGTACTAAGAAATTATATAGTGATGTTTTTCAGACTTCTTTCATCACAACTGTATTTTTTAGGTATCATGTATCAGTAGCATGCTTTCGGATATGTTTATTGTGTTGTTCATACTCAAGATATGTACAAATAATTATTTTTATTTTAAAGCAGGACAGAAGGAGCAAGCTGTGGAATGGTATAAGAAAGGTATTGAAGAACTAGAAAAAGGAATAGCGGTCATAATTACAGGACAAGGTATGGTTATAATTATATTTGTTTATAGCATTCCAAATTATACTCACATGATTGTCCTGATTTCAGATCTGTTTATCTTAGTAAAGATGTTTAAACATTTTAAAATATCTTTGTTAACATTTGTAGACTTTGTTTTTTTGTTTGTTTTAGAGACAGAATCTTACTGTATCACCCTTGGTAGAGTGCCATGGTGTCACAGCTCACAGTAACCTCAAACTCTTGGGCTCAAGAATTCTCTTGCCCAAGAGAATTGTAGTCCCAAGTAGCTGGGACTACAGGCGCCTGCCACAATGCCCAGCTATTTTTTGTTGCAGTTGTCATTGTTAGTTAGCTGCTCCAGGCCAGGTTCAAACCCACCAAATGGTGTATGTGACTGGCACCATAACCACTGTGCTGTAGGCACCGAGCCAACATTTGTAGACTTTTAGTTAATTCTTATGATCTACTCTAAAAATGAAATTATAATCAGATATGCTGAACTTGATTTACCTGTAGCAGGCCAGCAGTGACTTACTGGTACATTATTTGTATCCTTGGAACCACTGTTGGTGATCGATCACGTGTTTGAGCCCTATTTTTAAAATGTAGTCCCTTCATCACTGGAGAGGAGAGAAGGAGTAGTTAATCCACAAACCCCTTGCACTTCTGGGTAATGCTTCTTGACTGCATGTTGGAATATAACCTGTAAATATCTTATGTTGACTCACACTTGAATTAAAAATTAGAGTCCAATAATATCTATAAATGTTATAGGTAATATTTATTGCACAGTTATAATACACTATGCACAAGCATCATTGTAAGTGCTTCCTATGTAGTATTTCTTTTAATTTTTACCCTGTAAAAATTATACTCTGTAGCTGGTGTTACCTTTATTTTTTAGATGAGTAATCTGAAGTATAGAGAAATTAAATAACTTACTAAAATCTCATAGCTGCAAGTGGTATAGTGAGGATTTGAACTCAGTCTGACTTCAGAGCCTAAATTTTTAAATACTATACTATGCATACTGTATAGTATGTGGGTTCTACTATTAAAGTACTTCAGTTTTTCATAGCTAAAATAAATTCACAATAAGAATTTATAGTGTTAGGCTAAGAATTAATCCATTCAATAGATGTTACCTGGCAAGATGACTCTACTACTTATTTTTTTTTTTTTTTTTGAGACGGAGCCTCAAGCTATCCCTCTGGGTAGAGTGCCATGACATCACGCTCAGAGCAACCTCCAACTCCTGGGCTCAAGCGAGTCTCCTGCCTCAGCCTCCCAAGTAGCTGGGACTACAGGCCCCCGCCACAATGCC